ACAAATGCTGACATTATAATTATTTAAAATCATACATTATCATAACATTAACTTTAAAAGTATGTACACATTTTTCATTTGGTAGTGGGGATCAAACATGGGGTTTTGTGCATGTGAAGTACATGCACTGTACCATATCATTGAACTCCCACACGTTAGGAAACATGATTAATGCTCATAATCTGAGCCCCGGACATCCCACAGGAAGCAGGATTAGCAAAGCAAAACCATCCAATATTACATGGCATCTGCAGTTACATACAGCCTGACCCATGAACTCCTTGAAGGCAGGGCCAAGTATGTTTAGTCACCATTTATCCCAATTGACATCTCATAGCACTGATTCGGAGAAATTCTAGGCAAAACCTTGTGAAATAAATGAATGCTGCATGAATGAATGAATGAAGGCATGGATGCTGGTCCTGAACTTGGGATCCCATGTCACCACCACACTTATACCTTGGTGGACCTAGATTTGCTCATTTGCAAATGGGCGGTGCCCATTTGTGTTTGCAGAGCTCAAGAGGTAGGAGCAGAAGAATCGTGGGTTCAAGGCCTGGCTGCACTGTACAGTGAGTTCTTGGTCAGCCTGGGCAAAAGAGTAAGAATGCTTCTTTCTATAACCCTCCACCAAGTTTTATGAGCTCGCCACCCAGGCCACGTGAAAAGCAGTCCTGTGTCTGGGTGGATGAGAATGTCAGTTAGGCTTCACTAGAGCCCCAGTGTTTGCAGGGATGGCAACAGTTTGAAGAATTCCCACATTATAGTTCTTCATGCCTTTCTGATCCCACGCTGTTTTGTAGACTGCTCCAGAGAAGTGTGAGGCAAAGCTTCAAAAGTGGCATCAAACTAGTAAGTGGGAGCGCATTCTCCAAGCTACATCCATCTCACACTCAAGCCACTGAGAACCGCAGCCAAGGAGCTGCCGTTCTGACACATTATATTACACAGACCACACCGTCCCTGTCTGCTCTTCCATAGTGGAGCTCCTCAGATCTACGAATCCTGAGGAAAGCTTTCCAGCAAGGAATATTTTAAACTCAGTGAAGGCTACCCTCTGTGCTTAGTTACTAGCGGGCCTTTCCTTGTTCAAATTAAGAAGCTTTTGCTTGATCAAAACCAATCATGCTCACAAATAAATGAGTACCTCCTTTTGGTTGTGTATAGTTTCATTTTGTTTGACAACCTTGGCTTGTGCAAGACTATCGGACTCTGGCACACAGCCAGCTGTAATTTTAAATTGATTGTCCCCTTCCCTGGGGCAGACATAGCCTCCAAAGATTTGGCTAAGACAGTTTCTAAGTCACCTGTTTTATATACCTTCAGAAGAAAAAGGGGGGAAAACAGTTTATATAATTTTTATACTTGATGTTTTGTCATCAGCTTTGGGGACCCTCTGAGATACTCGTGATGAAATCTGAAGTCCTCGTGAAGTATCTACAACTTTGTGACCCTCCCTGATGTGGTTTGAATGTGAAATGGCCCTTACTGGCTCAGGTGTTTAAATACTTGGTCACCAGGTGGTGGCACTATTTGGGAAGGTTGTGGAACCTTTGGGAGGTGACACCTTGTTGACAGAGTCACACCACTGGAGCAGGCTTTGAGGTTTTACAGCCTGGCTCAAACTACTGTTCTTCTACTTGCACCCGCAAAGTGACAGGCTAGCCTCATGCCTTCCCTGACACAGTAGACTTACTTATTTCCTGTTGAAACTACATGCAAAAATATGCCCCTTCCCTCTTAAGTCGTTTTGGTCAGCATATTTTTAATCACAACAGAAGAGAAACACACATACATTCACACATGCACTCACACACTCTCAAGCTCACACAGATTCACACACACCCTATCATGCATGCTCACACTCTCTCACATGCTCACTCACATACACTAACTCTTACACACACATGCTCACAGACTCTTTCTCACACACACACTGCAGCCTCATCTCTGGACCATCTACTGCTCATCCTTTAAAGCTCTAGGCACACCACTTTTCTTTCAGTTCTGCCAACTTAGAAAGATAACTCCCACCTCCGGACCTCAGCACATGCTGCTTTCACAGCTCCAGATGTTTCTTTCCTTCGTGTCTCACTCAGCATCTTCTACTCAGCCTTTAGATCTCATGTTAAATATCTGTTTCTGAAGGAGGTGCCTCTAACCAGCTGACCCAACCCCCATGTTTCTTCTCACAGCATGTATTGCACCTTGCATCACATGGCTCTTAAGTGCCTACTGGGTTAGCATCACCTGGCTCCTGTGCTTACTGGGTTGGTATCACATGGCTCCTGTGCTTACTGGATTAGCATCATCTGCCCTTATTAGATGTTCAACACTATGCCATGAGAATCATGACTGTTTTATTGGCCACTGCTAATCTCAACAAATACCAATTGATTAAACTGGAAAGCTAATTCAAATTCATTCCCACTTTTAGTTAATTTCTCACAAATACAAGTTGGACACAATGAGTGGACTACACCTCACTCATATTCAAAGCAACCTGGCTACTGGGATGAGATGAGGTGATGGGATTACATTGGCAGAGGTGCAAGGCATGACCTTTGAGAAACTTTGTTAGACCCATGGATGGACAGAAAATGTAGTGTTGTGAAGGGAAGAAAAGAGTAGGAAGCATTACATTAAAGGAGTGAAAGAAGTTAGGCAGACAGACCGTTTAGGCAGGTTCACGGGAAGGTAGGAAGCACTTTCAAATGTCACGAGGTCAGGCTGACCACAGTAGAAGAACATGTATATACCCAAAAGGAGAGAGGGAGGAAGGTAGGAGGTAGGCACACTTGGTACCAACCACAGCTAAGACTAGGAGGAGAGATAGGGTGAAGCTCCAGAGGCTCTGTGCCCAGTTTTGGGGACCAGATGCTAAGTCTAGGGGAAATACATTAATGTGGGGATGAAAATCACTGTGCATCATTCTCAAAACAAAAATAGGCTGCTGTTGGCCCTACACTGTGAGACAACTAGGCCAGCATTCAGTCCCTGGTAAAGGGCAGTCTCCATAGTGAAGAATACGACCAATGGTAATGAAGTGCCCCGAGACCAAGGTGCCCAGTGACTGCACTGCATGAATGCCAGGAGCTTGCCCAAATCCTCACTTCGACAATGTCGTTATGGGAACTGCAGTAGGTTCAGTTGCCCTTAGGACAGTCTATTTCTTTACAAATTATCTGTGGGCTGGAGAGCTACCACAGCTGGGAAAAGCACTTGCTTCCAAGCCTAGTGACCCAGGATCCACTTAGTGGAAGGAGAGAATCAACCCTCACAAACTGTCCTCTGACCTCCATGCCCATATTGTGGCATGTGCACATACAAAATAAGTAAAGAAATATTTTAAATTATGAAACTGTCCAAAAATTGGCTTTCTACCAACCTAACACCCCATAAACTGTCAACAGAGTAGGCTGGAGAGTGTCAATAATAATTCAATAATAGTGAAAAACAGATACTAGGTGATACTTATTCCACATACTTTGTTCTGCGTCTGTTCTATGGTGTGTGTATGTATTAATACATTTGTATTTCTATATCAATTGCTTAATTTTTACTCTAAAAAAACTCAAATAAAACAGTGTTATTATCTCACTTTCCGGAAGGGGAAAATGAAACCTAGAGAGACTGACATTATTCAGCAATGTGTCAAAGGACTGACTCCCAGACAACCTGACTCTGGAGACCACCAACTATTAATGTATAATTCCTCTATTTGTTTCTACAGTTTATAAAGCCCTTCAGAAGAGAATCAACTATTATGTGGTCCTCTCAGGAACACTAAATAATAAGGAACATCTTTTCCTGGTGTGCAGTTGGGGAAACTGAGGCTCACGGGCATTAAAAACACTGGAGTGAGAAATCAACTATGCTGTTGCCAGCCAAAGAATTATTTTCTACAACCCCGCACTCCTAACGTGCCACGTCACCTCTCACTTCTCCTCGCCACTGTGTGAGGATTAAATTGCATCTACACAATCGGCTATGCAGAAGGATAAAAGCTGAGTCTGGAGTTTTGGGGTTTGGCATGGAGGTCCTAGTATCTGAAAACATGGCATTATCTCCAACCTGAAATATTATTTCATACGACCTCAAAGTCAGTGAGCATCCGTGGGAAGGCAGCAAGAGGGAGAAGCTGACCAAGTGCTCAAAGATGTAATTGCTGGCTTTCTTGGAGCGGCAGGCTGACGCCTGTCACAGGGACCTTGCTGCAGTATCAGCCTGGGAGAGTGACCAGGAACGTGAAGAGAAACCAGCAACCCTAGTCTGGGTCCACACCCGGAGCCCTCATTGTGTCATTTTCTGGTTACCGCCTGCCTTGTCTCCATGCCATCTTTTCCCCGCCCTCGCATGCAATGCGGGTGATGCCCAGCGTTATCATTGAATCTCGGACTGCTTCGAGGACATTTCTGTCTCATTTCTCAGATTACCCCAGGAGCAAATCAATTATTTTGGGTCCACCAGTGGCTTCTAGTAGCCAGTTCTGACTCATATCTCCCGCAACTCATCATTCTTCCATCACACCCTTAGTATGGAATCACATTTACTTCGGATCCGCAGTGACACCCCCCCCCATACGAGCGCAGGCACACACACACACACACACACACACACACACACACACACACACACACACACACACACACCTCTTAATTGCAATCCGATAATGCTGACATGGTTAGGAATCAGAAGTAATGGCTATTGCGGCCAACTCCCCCAAGAAGGCAAGGTCAGGGACAGGGACCCAGAGAAGCTTAAAACAGGTCTGGCTCCTTAGCAACGTGACCCCCTGTGTTCCCCCCAAAGGCAGTGGCACAAATCCTCGAAGCCAGGACAAGCAATATCCCCTCCGCAGCGGCTGCTATAGAAACAGCAAGAGGAACACACAGGGTTGAAATTAAATACCCAGGCTGGACCGAGATGAGCGGGGATCGGTCACCATGGCAACATGCCCAGGGAGGCACCAAGCGGGCGCGCTGCACGGGGATACTCACTCCATCACAGGGATCCGGGTGGCCCGGCGCTCTGCTGCGGGGCTCCTGGCGCTGCTGGCCTCTGTCGGGGCCGGGGCACTCTGGCCTCTCGCAAGGTGGAGCAGCCAAGCAGTCCCCTGGTCCCCGCCCGCCTCCCTCCTCCCCTGGAGCACTAGCGAGGGAACGCTCTGGCTCTGGCAGCTCCCAGCCTGCGAATAAAACGGGAAGCAATTGGATAACGTTATTTGCCGGGCGCTAGACCGAGCGTCTTCACTTAAGGGGATCCGGGAGGGAGCGCTCCACCAGCTGTGAGCCGGGCGAGGCGGCCACCATGCGCCCTGGTCCCCTGGGTGCCCGAGGCTCCAGGTGCTCTCGCGACTCCCCTGGGACCCACGACGGCGCCACGTAGAGCTCCGGGAGAAGCGTGGGAGGGGGCGAGGGGCGGGGGCGACGGGTGGCACGGCCTACGGGGCGTAGGGAAACGACGAAGTCCTTGGCAAGGTAGCAGCTGTAGCCGCCTAGAAGTTGCAGGAGGCTTCTGGCCTCTGCGGAAATAGCAAGCATTGCCCTCAGCAGGGCTTTTCTGGGACTGCGAACCGCCATTATGCCAGCATCTGCGGAAGGGACCAAGAAAACTCCAGCTGCTTTGCCGCAAGTTCCTGCGGTGTTTCCACTTAGGCGACCCCACACTCTTTTCCGTGTCACCCACAGTCTCCGATTTCCTGCCTGCCCGGAAGATATTCTTCAGATGTCCCCGGCCTGTTTTCTTGAAGAGTTACACTAAATATGATTTTCCAAGTTACCTCAGCCCCACCCTGTGGTAATAAGCTCCCCGGAGTCATGAATTTTGTGCTTATGACCACTGGAAGAGTTCTCTACTAGCCGGCTCCTTGCCCCCTGCAGTGAAAGGTGGGACAATCTTCAGGGTCTCCATGCACTGCCTGGTCCATCTATGAGTGCTCTAGCCACAATCCAGGCTCAAGGAGAAAGATGGTACACAGAAAGAAAATGTTTTAAGTAAATAAACAAACAAATAACGGCCAGAGATGGTTCAGTGGGTAAAGGTGCTTGTCATGCAAGCCTGGCCAACCTGAGCTCGATCAAGATGCAAGGAAAGAAGCAATTCCCTAAGTCATCCTCTGACTTTCACATGTCCTGCCACACCCATCTACTCACATACAAAACACGCACACACGCGTATAGTAATTTTTAATCGGGATATGCTGTGTCTGATCGTTTCAGGTTAATTGGTGATATTTGCAGCACTCTGAATTATCCAAAAGTCATTGTGATTTTTGGTTTGGATTTTTTTGTTTGTTTATTGTTTTGTTTTGTTGTTGTTTTTCTCTCTTCTGAGTGGTTTTCTTGGTAACTTACATCTTTTAAAAGGTAGAGCTGGGTGTAGATATATGCACCCCTGCAATCCCAGCCCTGACTAGGTAGGCAGAGAAGGAAGAACCATAAGTTCTCAGGGCTAGCCTGGGCTACGGAGTGGGATAAGACTCTGTCTCAAAAACAAACAAACATTGAATGACCTGCCTGGCCAGATGCTGAGGAAAGTCTCTGCCAGACTGGGAAAGACAAAGGACACAGACAGTCAGCAGGAGCCAGCATCAAATAAGGGCAGTGGGTTGCAAAAGCCCCCCTGCTTAACTCTAGTGAGTGAGTCTGGAAGCCAGAGCCAGTGACTGCTCATGGAGCTTCTGTCTGTGTAGGTTCTCTGTCTCCTTAAAGCGGCAGACTCTGGTGTTCGTCTGGAAATTATCAAAGCCTTTTATCACTGGCAATCTTCTCCAGCTGCCATCCTACCTTGACGCTTCCCTTTCATTGTTCTCCATACTCACCAGCTGGACATCCCTACTTCCTGTATCCTCTCTGTCATAGATTTGGTGCAGGTTTGAGCCCTGATGAGGCTTAAATAGAAAAACTATTGGTTTTTTTACTCAGAATGGCATGTGTGTGCATGAGTGTGTCCTTGTAGAGGCCAGAGGCTGAAACTGAGTGTTTTCCTCCGTTACTTGACACTTCATTTTTTGGAGACAGGATCTCCCTGAAGCTGAAGGACACTGATCGGTGACACTGGCTGGCCACAGAGCTCCAAAATACCAGCCCCTCTGCTCTCCCAACACTGGGGTTAGAAATCAGCACTGCTCCATCAGCTTTCTTTACATGGCTGCTGGGGACCCAAACTCTACTTCTCATGCTTGCATTACAAATACTTTACCAACGGAGTCATCTCCTCCCGCCCTTGTCTTCTACTCTTACAAATTCAGAGATAAGCAGTTCTGGGCTAACTTACCAGGTGTTTTCAAAAAAGCTAAATGACCCAGGGTCCCTTAAATTTTTGCTTTTCTACGTGGACTTCCTTCCTCACTTGGCCTCACAAGCTCCAGCCTTCATGTCTGTGTTTCAGCTCTCACAAAGGGGAAGGAGCAAAGAAAGGCCAAGGGTGTGGGCCAGCTGCCTCTCAGGAAGGCTCTCGGGATTATTCCACTCATACCTCTTTGTCCACAGTCCAGTCACATGGTGTCACAGTTAGGTTTCCAAAGAGACTGAGCAAAGCAGACCTCATTCGGAACAGCCAAGAACACAGCCAAAATTTGAGAGTTAGTACTCTCTTGAAAGGAGAAAAATGGATACTAAAAGGCAACCATCAATCGTTGGTTGACCCATTTATCAAACCTTAGCATTCTGGCTTCTGCCCATCCCCAGGCCCATGGCCACTGCTCACCCTAAAGTCCCCAATGTCAAATCCAATGGAAACATCTCAGTCTTCTTGTTTATAAGGACTGTTTACATCTTGATCACCCATTTCTCCTCCTCCTTCTTTTTCTTGAAGTCAATTTTACTGAGTGTAACTACAGGTGGTAAAATTGGTTCTTTTATGTGCACACACTCATGAGCTTGGATGCAATCCATGTTAGCACAGATTATGTATTTATTTACTCAATTGAAAATATATTGATAATCCCAGCACTCAGAGACAGAGGCAGGAGCATCTCTGTGAGTTTGAGGCCAGCCTGGTCTACAGAGCAAGTTCCAGGACAGCTAGAGCTACACAGAGAAACCCTGTCTCGAAAAACCAAATATATATAGATAGATAGATATAGATATAGATATAGATATATGTGTGTACACACATATACATGTATACATATATACATATATATGTACGTGTATATACATATACATATATATATGTGTATGTAGAAGGGGGCAAGGAAAGATGGCTCAGAGGTTAAGGTATTCAACACACAGGCTGACAACCTGGGATTCTGAGATCTCACATAAACATGGTAAGAGAGAACAAACTCCACACAGTTATCCTCAAACCTCCACATGCATCCATGACATTCATGTCTACATACACCATGTATACATGCCAAGAAATAATAAAAATTTTAAAATATTGTCATACTTTAAATATAGCATAGCTACAAAATAGCAGAATATGATCATTTTCTAGTAATTAATTATAAGAACAAACAGTTAACTAGTTAACTAATAGCTAGGCTCACTAGAACACAAAGTTTACATTAAAACTTGGAGCATTCTCCAGTTCAAAGTCTATAATGTAACTGCTCTGAACTTTTGGCTAAAACGTGGAAATTAAGAAAACAGTATCACGGGTCCCTGAGATAACACACTTAGTTTGGGATTGTATGGGAAAAGGCCCAACCAAAGAAACACACTCTGCCCCTGGAATCACAGCCAGTGAAAGAAATATACACAGGCCCTAAAATTAGAGCCAAAAAGTCAAAAAGGACAGTGAAAGAAACACACTTTAGCCTTAAAAAACCAGAACCAAATCTGACCCTAAACCTGTGCAGAAAACCAACCAGTCCCTGAGCACCAGATCTAGCCAGTCTGAGCTCAAGGTTTGAAATCTGACCAATCCCCACCCTAGAAATCTCCCTAGGAAAACTCCACCCCCTGAGAAGCCCTATCTAAACCCTGTGTCTGTTCAGCCTGTGCCTGTTTGGCCTGCCCAGATGTCCTCTGCCACCTGGCAGAGGCAGCCACTCTCCTGGATTCTTCCTTCCCAATAAATCTCTTGAATGAGGTTTAGGTGAGATACAGAGGCAACCCTGAGTGGAGCAGGCAAAGGGAAGCTGCAGAGCAAAACTGTAACAACTTTACCAGGGAAAGCCTCTCCTGCCTGAGTAGAGCTGATACACTGGGGAAGCCTTTCCCTGAATCAGGGCTGTAAGCTGCTGTGCCTACTGTGACCTGTGGTATTCCTTGGCTCCAGGATACCTTGGTGCCAGGATACCTTTCCATCCACGCTGAAACATTCAGTATTCTGTGACTCCCAAGTGCCAGAATACCTGTCCCATCCAATTCACCCCAAAATACAGAGTCTATATGGAGGTATTCACTGGAGCACAAGGTTCTTAAGTGATTCATGAAAACAGTGAGACCTTTTTGGCTCAGGGTTGGAGGAGGAACCTTTTGCTTGTATCAGGCAGTTCTCTGACTCTTGAAGGTTGCCCACTGTCTAAGAATCCCAGATTCTTCCACCTGCCTGGAGGGTGCAGCCTGCTTGCCTTTGTGTTATTTTACTCTTGTAGTCTTCTGTAGATGAAAAGACAGAAGTTTGTAGTAGTAAAATGCCTGGCCACATTCAGTATTAGCAAGAGTAAAATCCATCACCTGACCCAACATCTTTAGCCTGGTGGTCTAGCAGAGAAGCCATCTGAGAAAGTTTTCTGAGGGAAAGCCATCTAAGGGAGTTTTGTGAAATTGTATTGCATGAGTTTTTACAGTGAGAAATCTTACATTGAGAACCATGTGACCTTCTGGGAGCAGCCTGGAATTCTGGGTGGCATTATGGCTTGGGAGGATGAGGAAGTTGAAGGGTGAGGTCCGCTGCTCTAAGAATTTCAGTGTTGAAATGAACAAGCCATACACAGGACTCGTGGTAGCATTTGGCTTGTTTGGTTCATGTTTTCGAGGTTACTAGGAATAGAAGCATGTAATTAGAAGGGGCTGGAGAGAAACAGGGAAAGTGTCACTTCAAACTAATAGCTGCAAGTGGGGAGGAAAGTGTGGCAGTGACACAAAACAACACAGCAACCTCAGCTTGGGATCACTGGGCAGAGGAACGCATGGCAGCTGGTTGCAATAGTCCCTGGGTGCACCAAGGGCCGCAGGGCTCAGCACCTGGAGTTAGGAATAAATGGGTCTTTGAGCTTTCCTGCTCTCATTGTTCCTCACGTTGATCTTTTGTTCAGGCCAACACTTACTTATTTAGAAAATGTGCGCTCTCTCACTCTGTGTGTGTGTGTGTGTGTGTGTGTGTGTGTGTGTGTGAGAGAGAGAGAGAGAGAGAGAGAGAGAGAGAGAGAGAGAGAGAGAGAGACTCCCATCCCTTGTCAGCAGTGGATAAGCGAAGCTATTATTGTAATTTTACACATCTAGCTGAACAAGA